ATGAGTGGATATTATGGGGACTAATAATAACACAAAATAATTTGACTCTGGATAGGCAGCATTCTTTCTACACTCACAAATAGCTAATCAGTCATCAGGTCTTATAAATCTTTAACACAGATGAGGGTCCCCCCTCCCTACTAAACTTCAGTTTACAAGCCTGAGGATGGGGTGGGTAATGCACCTTAGAATAGGTTCCTTGAGCTGAGAGGGGTGGTAGGGAGACAGGGGGGTAAGGGGTGGGGAATGGGAGGATGGGAGGAGTCCTGGGGATGAGCAGCTCCCAGATCTTGTTCTCACATCCATATGGCATCCAGCCCTGCTGGCCACCCCCTTGCCTCTTCCCAGGCACTGTCCTGGACCAGCTCAGTGTGAGCTCATCTGATGCTCTTCGGCTCACCCATTGGAACACTCACATTCAGACTGGGTGTTTGCTTCATCTCAATACCTCCATGCCCAGTTTTGTCCAGAAGCATGGGGGGGGGGTCCCTAGGACACCTTCCTTTCTCCTTTACAGCAGCACAACTCTGTCACCTGGGTTTTGGATGGAGTGACAATTGCAGTCATCAGCACTTAAGGACAGGAAGGCACCTGGAGAAAGGTGTCCTAATGGGATTCGGTCAATCTGTGAACATCGGAGAGGGTTTAACAGTATCAGACCAGTGTAAGTCAATCACTCAACGGACTCTTCATACAATCAAGAGACACACAGTAGGAAGTGGAAGTGAGGCTGCTCCCAGAGGAACCTCTTTCTGGTGTGAACAGATGCATCTCAGAGAGATCCCCACCAGAGTCAAGAGCTTCTAGCAGGTTTAAATCTCACCAGCTGGAACATTCTTGTTACCAGACACACTCAGGTCCATAAACTGTTGAGGCCTGGTTCACCTGGTGGGACTTAGAATCACCATGGAAACAAATCTCTGAGTGTGTCTGGATTAAATTGAGGTGGGATGACCCATACTAAGGGGGGGGGGAGGGCATGTGTTTAGGGGGGCGCTAGACTGAGTTTTTAAAAATGAAAGCCAGTTAAGCTCAAGCGTTTATCACTCTCTGATCTCTGCTTCCTGACTGTGGATATAATGTGTGAAGAGCTCACCAGTCACCTCCTGCCCCTGTCTCCGTCCTGCCTGGCCGCGGTGGGCTGTGTCCCCCAGAACGGTGAGCCAAACAAAGCGCACCCATCCTCACTGAAGTTCTTTTCTCCACAGACTTTGTTGCAGCAGTGAGAGCAACGGACGCACCCAGTTCCCTTGTTAGGAGCCTGGAGTGATGATGCACACCTGTTAGTCTCCACACTCGGGAGGTGGGGGGGGGGGATCAGGAGTTCAAGGCTACCCTCAACCCCAGAGCGTGCTGGAGCTCAGCTTGGGCTACAAGAGACCCAGACTAAACCAATTAATTAATTAATTAACAGAAGTTGATAGAAGAATCAGGATTTGTTCACAGTTTAGCCAATGAGAACTGAGAAACCTAATCCTGCTCCATGTCTGAGGCCACCTCATAATTTACAGAAGGCCATGAGAAAAAGTCTAGAACAGATGTAAATTTAAGTACAGTACTGGTTAGGTTTTTTTTCGTGGGAAGGAGGAGAACTGGGTTCCAGGCTGCCTCCATTCTCTGTTACAGAGACAGTTTTTTATTAAGTCCATTTTTAAAGAGGAAGTAGTCTGGGTGTTTCCCCTCCCAGGGTCTTTGTCCCCTAAGTCCCTTCCTTTAGTAGGTGTATATTGAGGCCTTGCACAACTTTCCTTGAAGGTCAGCTTCAAGCTCAAGACTCCTGTATGCCTGTTAAGCACACTAATTTTGTATGTGGGGGTGGGGAGGATGGCAGTCTCATGGCTAAAGGGAGGTCACAGTGTCTCTTTGGAACATCTGTCAGCACAGGATCACAGTCACATTGTGGCCTTGTTGATACATGAAGTGCTGTGAGTCATGAAGCCTAGGCTGGGCTGGGCTGAGCTGTTCTGTTTCAGGCCCCTTTTTCAGTCATTATCATTGACTTCTGTTACCTACGTTTTTGTGGTTATTGAACAAAATCTTATAATGTATAGCAGGTTGACAGACCTCTGGACTCTATTAACCTTAAGGCTGAGGCAGCAACCAAGGCCTGCTGGGGGTGTCTTGCCTGATTTAATCAACGTCTAAATCTGTGTAAGGTTTGCCCACTGTGGCAGGTTTCTGTAAGTAGTTCTGCACAGGACCACAGAGAGCTGGATACTTTCCTCGGTGGGACACATACCTGTGAAACGGAACGGAAGGGAGGAAGGACTCCTGTTAGCCCCTAGTTTGAAGGGTAGGATGGTTACCTTGCCATTGAGAGTGGATTTAGAGTCACCCAGGAGACAAACCTCGGGCTTTGTTGAGGCTGTTTCCAGAGGATTGACTGAGGTGGAAAGAGCAACCGTGAACGGTGGATGTGATGAGTTGATAAAAAGAAGAAAGAGCATTGAGCACCAGCACTCACTGCTACGCTTCCTGACTCAGATTCAACGTGACCCACATCTCATGCTCCTACTGCCAAGCCTTCACCACTGTGACGGACGGTACCCCCAAACTGCGAGCCCAAATTATCCTTTCCTCTTTGAAGTTGTCAAGTGTTCTCTCACAAGGAGAAGGTAACTCATACAAAGGGGCATTAATCCGTCGTGGTGAGCAGGCCTGGCAGTGGGCAGGCAACAGCCTCTTGATACCCAGTACAGAGAGCAGAAAGTGCTTAGACAGGAAGCAGGGCTGGCCTATCCCCCCAAGACCCACCCCTCACTGATCTGTTTCCTCTAGCCAGGCCCCACTCCCTGAAAGTTTCACATGCTCCTAAAACAGCACGGTCAGCTAGGGGACAAGTATTCAAACACAACAGTCTGGAGCAGACACGTTAGTTCAAAGGGTGTCACAGGTCCTTGGAGGACCATGTTCTTGGGGAACCAGGGTGGGCAAGTATTCAAACACAACAGTCTGCAGCAGACATATTACATTCAAAGGTTAACACATGTCCTTGGAGGACCATGTTCTTGGGGAACCAGAGTGTTAATTTGTTTATACTTCTGAGGCACGGTCATTCAAATTGGCTCAGAACAAGCCAACTCTTCATTCTGAATTGTCATTTTTTTTTAAAGATTTGTTTATTTATTATGCATACAGTGCTCTGCCTGCATGTGTCCCTGCAGGCCAGAAGAGGGCACCAGATCTCATTACAGATGATTGTGAGCCACCATGTGGTTGCTGGGAATTGAACTCAGGACCTTTGGAAGAGCAGCCAGTGCTCTTAACCTCTGAGCCATCTCTCCAGGCCCACATCATTGTTTTTAATGTCAAAAGTAAACATTGTGATTTCTTGATTATTTTTTCTCTTTTAAACATGCTAAGGATGGAACCTAGGGCCTCGTGCATGCTAAGCACGTGATGTACTACTGAGCTACTTGGCCAGCCCCAAACAGTTTGCTTATAGGTAGAAAGAATATATCCTATAATGACAATAGGAAGTATAGCATAGTAAATCCTCAAACCAGTAATACAGCTGTCTGTTGTGATTATCAAGTACTATACATAATATTTAAAACATTTATTGTGTGTGTGGAGGTCAGAGAACAGCTCCAGGGAGTTGGTTCTCTCCTCCCACCATGTAGGTCCTGGGAACTGAACTCAGGGTTTAAACTCAGGTTTAGTGGCGGGTGCTTTACCCACCGAACCTGTCCTATGTATAAATTCTGTGCGCTGTATTTTTTTGTTTCTTATCTGGCATTTTAGTGCATGTGTGTAATGCAACCTGATCGCGTTCCCACAGCCCTCTGCTCTCCTGCACTCTGCATTTATGCCAAGGACAGTGCAAACAAAAGTGACTACGCGCTGTGACATCCAAGAGCTGCTTCGTCACTGGGTGACAGGACTTCTTCCGTTCTCTATCATCTTAGCTGGCTACTGATCTGTGTATGGTCCCGCTGCTGCCGGAAATGCCATTGTTTGGTGCATGGCTGTGTTGGTGAATGTATCAGTTGTCGCTGAGATATACTATTTTGTGATAGTGTGGTGTGTGTGTGTGTGTGTGTGTGTGTGTGTGTGTTAGGCACCAGCCCCAAAGTCTCACACATGGTAGGCAAGTGCCATCCCACTATCTATCCCCAAAACCTCTTTTGTCATCTTTATTCACGTAACTAATGTCTCCGTTTCTTCCTGGGGCGAGGGGGGTGGAGAAAATGAACACAAGAAACCAGCAACTGTTGTTCTATATCCACATGATTCTGTTATGCAATATAATAATTTTGGACATGGGCTGCCTTTAACAGAATTTAGTTTCTTTGAGCCTCCAAAATTCAAAGACATGAGGTTAGCTAGTCTTGTTAGTCAACTGTCTGGGGCTGTGGAGACCTCCTTGAGAACAAACACATCCTGACATGGCAGCGATTTTGCATGCAATTTCTAGGAGCACCTGGACCCTAAAGTCCCCCGGGAATCCCAGTGTAACCCAGTAGCCATGAAACAGCCTCCAGAAGGCTGAGATGACTCAAGCTCCTAGTGAATTATCTTGACCAGATCTGAGTGCAGATTCCCCAGCCCTGCACCTATGGCAGAGGAATCACACCATGGGCCATGTCACCTGGGAACTTGTGTAGGTTATTCAGCCTCTTGGTGCCTCAGTTTTACCATTTCAGGGTGGAATGACAAGGGCTCCTTGTGGTGCCTGTCACCTTGGGCTTAAGTGGTGTTTGTCACCACTGTTTTTTGCAACAGGATGAACTCAGGAGTTATGCATGGCTACTCCCAAGACTTACCCCCAAGTCTATAGGCTGAGCATCCAGCAGCCTGTACCCCCTGCCCAGTTCCTCACAGACCTTGTTTTCAGTCACTATAAACTGGAACCCAAGCAGGGTGCAGGTGCCGGGGCTGCTTCCTCAGGGAACTTTATACCGGAGGGTGGACCAGACAGGGCCAGCGTGGAGGAGTGATGTCACAGGTTGAGAAAGGGGTGGGGATCCAGATAGAGTGAAACCAGTCAGGGAGGGAGGGGGAGGAAGGAAGGAGCCATTGTGCTGCCCAGAGGAGACCTGCCCGCTCACCCCCAACCTGGAGGTCACAGTCACAGTAGCTCAAGATGAGGGGGGACTAGATCATGCTGCAGAGTGGCCTTCTGGGAGTGTCCAGTTACAGGGACCTGGGAACCGCCCTGGGCTGAGAATTCTCCAAGTCCCCTCCCCCCTGCTGCTGTGAGCCAGGCTGGGGAAACACTTTCAGTTTTGTTTTCTTGTGTGCAGTAAAGGAAACTCCACAGAAGTCCTCCGAGGAGCAGAGCATGGAGGCAGACTTCCAGGTGTGCAGCAACTGGTAAGAAAGCACTCTCTCCAGGGCTGGCCAGAGAGAGAGGGGCAGAGCAGAGAAAGCTATTTCTGAAGTGAGGGGGATGAGGGACACACCAGAGGGCAAGCCAGAAGGGACTGGAACTCCTGGGGTGAGGAGGCCAAAACTAGATCTCTTGATAGTGTGGTCAGTGATGCCTCAACGTCGCTACACTCCCTCAGCATGGGCGTTTCAGGCTGGCTGGTCAGGTAGCCAGGGACTTGTCCCTGGCAGGCTATTCATTCCTGGTGAAGCTTAGGTCCTAGTGTGGGGCCCTGGCAACATAGTCTTCCCACCCATCTGTGAGAGGGACCTGGAAAGGTGCTCCAGGGTTATTCCCACCCTCCCACCTGACAAAGGAGCTGTGAGGTAGAACTTGGAGGACAGAGCAGGGAGCAGGGACCGCATCTCCAAGTAAAGGGAGACTGTCTCTCAGCAGAACCTACCTGCTGCAGTCACTGGGTTAAGCCTCCCCAGGATCTCTGGACTCTGGAAGAAGTGCTGAGTGTGTAGGTAGGCAGAACAGAGAGCAAGCAGAGCAAGGAGACGTCACCCTGTGCAGCTGTGGGGACAGCCTGATCAGGCTAACAGCAGTGAGACTTTCCATGTCCCTCTGTGAACATGGCCCAGGTACTAGGCCCTGGGGCACCTCCCATGGACAGCTGGCCCTTCAGGGCCATCTGCATGAGTGGTAAAAGGAGCAGCAAGGTCATAGAACAGCTATCCACTACACATTTCCAGTGAGAACACCCTGCGCTAGCAGACTCCACCCCACCCCACCCCACCCCCCGGGGTTGCAGCATCTCTCTGTGTAGCTGTCCCAGGAGAGCCCAGGGACAGGAGACAGCTGGGTGGACTTTTGCTCTTGGAGAGTTGGGAAACCCTTGGAGATTCTGAAAGCTGTTTCCACCCATGTAGAAAGTGTGGTCACCGCAGGACAACTGATATGTTATTTTGTTTTCATGATGGCTTTACTGAGAGATAAATGGAAAAGGATAAACTTCACCTCCCTCCTCCCTCCTCATCTCTGAGAGTGAGGAGCACTTGGCACTAAGTCTAGGGTATTACAGAGCAGCCAATCACTCTACTGAGTTGTATCCCCAGCTCTATTTTTACTTTGCATTTTGAGACAGGGTCTCACTAACTTGCCCAGGCTGATCTTGAACTCACTCTATTGCATAGGTAGGCCTTGAACTAGCCATCCTCCTGTCTCAGTCTCATGAACAGCTGGGATTACAAACCTTTGCCAACAGGCACAGCTGACTTGCACATGTTTAAAGCACACACTTTGGCATACATTACTTACCTGTGAAACCATCCCACAACCTAGGAAATAAATCAGTCTATCATCACTCTCGAGAGTTGCCCTGTTGCCCTGGTAACCCCTTTCTACCGTTCCTTCCTGTCCACTCTCCTGGGTAGTGCAGTACTTTGTAGACTGCCCTCACCATTATTTTATGATGGTGAATTTTTCTGCTTTTTCACCAGCACAAGCAGGGCAGGAGAGCAACATTGGCGTCACGGTATTTTCCATGCTTGAAGGTCTGGGAAAAGCTGGTCCCAGGTATGCAACAAGGCTTCATGCTTTACACTAAGACAACGAGCCTTTCTTTCTCCCCCACTTTATCCTGAAGCAAAAGAAATGTGGCCTCTGTCCACTTCGCCCTCCACGAGGCCCACTGCCTGCGCTTCCTGGTCCTTTGCCCGGAATGTGAGGAGCCCATCCCAAAGTCAAAGATGAAGGAGCACGCAGAAGCTGTGCACCAGCAGGTGAGCAGGTGGCAGTCTGGGCAGAGGCCTGGGGTCAGGAGCTGGAGCCCAGTCCTCCGTGGCCCTGTGGGAAAGTCATTTCGCCCCTCCGTGTCTGATCTCAGTTTGGGAAGAGAAAAGGCTTTTGTGTGTGTTGCTACATTGAGGCTGCCCCATTTTTTCCCCTTTCTACTCTCTGCGGTGGGACTCCCGGCCTGGCAAGGCAAGGGGTCCATCTTAAGAAAGGCTAAACACCCTTTAGAGAATTGTAAGGAGGAGGCAGATGGGCCCAGCTCAGTCTTCTTTCCTACTTTTCTAAATCAATCTCTCCTGTGGCTTTATCTGAGAATCAAGCTCAGGCAATCATTTAGATTCAAACTGGTCCAACAAACAAACACCTTTTGAGGCCTAGGTTAGGTGCTAGAGGAAAGAGAGGTCTCCATCCTCTAGGATCTCGTGGACCCAAGTGTGAAGCATGGCTAGCCCGAGTGATGTAAGGAAAGGCCAGGGGCCGAGGCTAGAACCCGCATCTCTGTGTACATGTGTTTGTATCCTAGTTAGGGTTACTGCTTTGATGAAACTCCATGGCCAAAGCAACTTGGGGAGGAAAAGGTTTATTTGGCTTAAGGAAGTCAGGACAGGAACTCAAGCATGGCAGGAATCTGGAGGCAGGAGCTGATGCAGAGATCGTGGAGGGGTGCTGCTCACTGCCTTGCTTCCCATGGCTTGCTCAGCCTGCTTTCTTATACAACCCAGGACCACCAGCCCAGGGATGGCACCATCCACAATGGGCTGGGCCCTCCCCCATCAGTCACTAATTAAGAAAATGTCCTAGAGCTGGATCTTGTGAGGACATTTTCTCAATTAAGATTACCTCCTTTCAGATAACTCTGGTTTGTGTCAAGCTGACATAAAACTAGCCAGCAGTTTGGGTAGTCTGCACTATGTCATCAGTATGTGCAGTTGGTCCCATGTCCTCCATCTTCCCACAGACCAAGGACATCCAACAGCATCCTGCCAAGTGCAAATTCTGTGACCTGGCCGTGCACCTCAGCAAGCTGGATGTCCACGAGTCCTACTGTGGCAGCCGGACAGAGCGTTGTCCACACTGCAACCAGCCCATCATACTCCGAGTGTTGGCCCAGCACAAAGAGGTGTGTCTGAGCGCAAAGGCCAGGTCTGAAGAAGGTGAGCATCAGAGAGAAGCTGGAGAGGGGGAGGATAGTTTCCAGGGCCAGACAGTCTCCTGGGCAGGATGCAAGGACAGGAACCCTTAACAGCACGGGAGAGAAGAGGGTGTCCAGTTCTGTATTGGACTGGAGCAGCCTTCTTGTGTGTCTGTAGTGCCCTTCAGTGACTTATCCAGGGAAAACAAGAGGCCAGGGGTGGGGTGTGAGAGAAGAGGGAGAGAAAGCCATGGGCAATCCTAAATCTGAAGGGCTTTCTTCACATTCTAAAGACATAATCTTAGCCTGGTAAGGCCACCCAAGTCATCCTACAGATGAAAAATACACAGAGATCAGGGAACGAATAAAAATGGACAGTCCAGCTCCCAGCACTAAGCCTAGATCCTCCTTTTCCACCTGAGTGTATTGCCTAAAAAAACAAAAACAAAAACCGGTAAGAAGCAGAAGCAGCTTCAGGCAGAAAGGATTTACTGAGGCTTATGGTTTGAGAGCGAACAGTCTTATTACGTTGGGGAAGGCATGATGGCGGGAATGTGAGACACGGCACTGGTCAGTCACTCTGAACCCACAGTGGGAAGCAGAAAGCACAAGACATGGAGCTGGGCTACGAAACCTCAAGGCCTGCACCCAGCACCCCACTTCTTCCAGTGAGGCTCTACCTCATAAAGGTGCCACAACTTGACAAAAGAGCATTAGTAGCTAAGAACCAAATGTTCAAACACATCAGCTCACCAAGAGAGTGGGGTGTTTACATCAAACCACAGCACTTAGCAATGGCCAGATGGGAGGCTGCTACAGCTCCAGACTGTAGCTTCGTACATCAGCTTTCCAGTATCACTTCAGATTCTCCCCCCACCTCTCTATTCAGTTTCAGTGCTTAGGGATTTGAACCTAGAGTCTCATCCACGCTAGGCAAGTACTCTACCACTGATCTCTCTGTAGACTGTTGACCCAATTCAATGACCTTGTTATAGGAGTGTTTGCCAAGAACACAGTTGCCAATGTTTCACATCTTTTGTTGACTCCATTGTTGTTTTGACAACGTGATGGCATGTGGAGAAACTGTGAAACCCCTTAGTAAGTCCCACCAGGTCAACACTCACTCTACCCAAGATCAAAATTGGCCAATAGAAAGCCAGGAAGTATGAGATTCGTGTACTTTCCCTTCACTCTGTTGTGCCTGGCCTCCCACCCACCCAACAGTTCCCAACACCAAGTTCATTGACATCTTCAGTACAACACAACCTCAACCTGGTTGGATCACAGAGCTTGGAAATTAATTGAGAATAGCTCAGTTAGGCAGTCTGGGCATGAAAGGAAATGAATTGGCTCAGGACCCCAAGACCAAGCTCTCAGCACAAAGCAGATTCATTTGCCTCAGAGGGACAGAGGGCAGGGAATAAGAGACAAAAGACAGGAGATAGAGGAAGAGGGAGAAGGGGAAGGGAACAAGGGAAAGGGGGCAGGGGTATGTGTCCCGGAGGGACAAAGGATTGCCTCTGGATAAAAAGGAAGCAGACATAGTCCATAGGAAAATGGCAGTTTATAAAGGTAAAAGGGGAAAGCCTGTGTTAGGATGAGGTGTTTAATTTTAACTGGGTATGTTAATTGAGTCAAAGGTGGTTTTTGATGGCTGGACTTCAATACTTAGATAGCTGGACTTTGGTAGTCAGCCTCAGGAGGAGGAAGTGGCCAAGTAAAGGACTAGACCTTGGTGGCTAGCTTTAGGAATGTTATCTAATGGGGTTTTTTTTAGCAAGACAGAGGGAGTGGGGGAGAAGGGCAAGGCCTGCCAGAGCCCCACGCTCGAGTAGGCTAGTGTTCCTTTGGGGCAGCTATGTATATAAGCCCCTTCAATTGCCGAAAAAAACAGGTCTGCTCTAGGAAAAGGTCTCTTCATCAGTGCCACTGTAGTAAAAATGGCCGTCCAGCCAGTTCTCTCCTGGACTAGGCTAGCCTAAGGATGGTCAATGTTCATGAATACAGGCCTTAGGAGCCTTGGGGAGAGATGGGCTAGCCATCGTCAAGAACAGTCATTTGTGGTGTTTCTGTGATTACTCAGGGAAGAGAACTGTATCTCCTGGAAGGAAAACCCATTGCAATTACTGCAAACAAAAGATTCCAGAAAATAAGGACGTCTCCCATATGGTGAGTAGCAATGTCCCACTTTCTAGCTGTGCATTAGCCCAGTTCGTACTCCCAAAAGCAAGGCGTGAACAGCAGGTTCCAGACCAGTTTTGCACGGCTCAGTTATCAAAGGTTGTGATATTTGTTATTTCACTTTGTTTTGTTTTGCTGTGTTCCAAGGTTCTCTGGGCAAATTTGGCATGCATAGTTGGTTTTCATTTGTGCCTATCCCTTCAAGCAGCAGCTCTGACAACTCCTGATGGCCCTGATCACCTCCGACCATCACCAACCTTCAGGACCTAGACTTTGCAATGTGGGCCTCACCAGGCCCTGCCCTGTTAGGCTTTCTGTCCATATGGCACTTAGCTGTGAACTCCCTAATGAGACAAAAAGGGACTTTTCCATTTTTCCATAATAAACCGACAGCATACTGAGTACTAAAAGGGGACTCCGGAGATGTCCGATGGTGTGGCTGGCTGACTGGCTGGTTTTACAGAAGAGCGAGCGCTGCCAGACTTAGCCCTCCACATAGCCTTGGGCGCTTTTTAGTGCATAGCTGAGCCAAGCTGCACTCTTGTCTTAGAGCTCTTCCTCCTGGGAAACACCACAGCTTCTCTCCCAGGAACTCATCTCCTCCCCCCTTCCCCATCCCGCCCCTGGAACAGAGAGTTGTTCATCTTTCTTTAAAAAGAAAGAAAGAAAAGAAAAATAGAATATCCCAGCACTCAGGAGGCAGAGGCAGGCAGATCTCTGAGTTCTAGGCCAGCCTGGTCTACACGGTGAGTTCCAAGACAGCCAGGGCTGCATAGTGAGACACTGTCTAAAAAAACAAACACCTACCATGGAACATCAGAACTAGGGGACCTTAGAGATGAGCTAGCTCTTTTATATATATATTGCAACAGCTGAAACCTGCCATTCCAGGCAGTGCCGTACAGGGGGAGGGGCTTTCCCCCCCCACTCCTCATCTTTCACAGCTGGGATTTTCCTCTCATCCAAGCCCCTGGTTACAGGATGAACCCCACATCTCTTGCAGTGTCTTGGTCCATTTGCCCTGCTGTAACACAAGACCACAGGCTAGGCAATTTCTACATGACAGAAATATGTTTCTCAGTGTTCTGAAGCCTGACACTCCAAGTCCGGAGTGTAGTCATTTGGTGTCTAGGGAGGGCCTTGCTGCTGCCTTGCATGGCAGACGGCAGAAGAGCAAGCGAGCAGCTGGCTAGGCTCTTTGAAGCCTCTTTTATAATCCCATGTGTGTGGCAGGAGCCTTTGCAACCTTCACCTCCCAAAGGTGCAGCTGCCTATGACCCTACGGGTAACCTTTGGATTTTAATGTATTTTTTAGGGACTATGGAGGTTTCTCTCCATAGTCCTGGCTGTCCTGGAACTCACTCTGTGGACCAGGCTGGCCTTGACTTCACAGAGATCCGCCTGCCTCTACCTCCTGAGTGCTGGGATTAAAGGCGTGCGCCATCATGATGGATTTATTTTTATTTGTGTTTATATACATGTGTGTGCCTACTTATCTGTATGTGCACCACATACATGCAGTGTTCGTAGAGGCCAGAAGAAGGTATCAGATCCCCTAGAACTGAAGTTACAGGTGGTTGTGAGCTGCCTGACACGGGTGCTGAGAGCCGACCAAACCTGGGTCCTCTGCAAGACCAGCCAGTCCCCTTTATGACTGAGCCATTTCTCCAGCCCCCCAAACCTGGATTTTCGAGGGACACATCCAAACCTCCATTCCCGCAACCTGAGACTTCTTTCTTCCAGCAAAGTCAGCTGTAACATCGAATGTCGGCCTCATATTATTCAGGATTAATTTTTTTTTTACAATTATTTACTGTGTGTGTGTGTGTGTGTGTGTGAAGGTCTTGTGGAGATAGGTTCTCTCGTTCCACTATGTGAGTTACTCAGGTCTTCCGGCTTGACAGCAAGCACTCTTACCCACAGAGTAATGCTTACCCACAGGCCATGCTGATGGCCCTTCTTCATCATCTCCAAGTGTTTACAGGGAGAAGCCTTGCAGGTTCTCTCAGCTGTATTGTGCAACTATTACAGCTGACGTAATTTATTTTAATTCATGTGTAATTCACTTTTGCAGAAACAATGTCCAGCCTTAAGGACCGTGAAATATCTTCAGGATGGAAAGCCAAAACTCCTTCCTCCATCCCTTACAAGTCAGGTGACCGGAAGTCAAACACCCACAGTGAACAAAGATGTTCGCCCAAAGACAAAAAATAGAAACAGTTCAACAAAGCAAGAGGCAAAGGACCAAAATGGCACCCTGGATCTGCCTTTGAGGTCTGCGCTCCAGCAGAGGGCTGCTCTTGCTACAGGAGATGAAGCAGCCTATGACATCTTTCAGAGGTGCTCTCAGTGTGGCATCTTACTTCCCTTGCCTGTTCTAAATCAGCACCAGGTACCTAGCTCCCCCCTCGACCCTGCTGCCTCCTCACCTGGCTGGGAACCAGCTGCACAGTGTTTACCCAGAGGCGGAAGGGAATGGGGGATCAGAGGATGGAAGTGGGGGGATGGGAGATGGGGGTGGTGTACCAGTGTGGTGGCTGGACAGTTCCTCCCATGCTTCTTCCTGCTTCCCTGTGCCCATGCACATTCTCTCCAACACTTGCTACCTGGTTTGTGTCACTTTCCAGTCACTGGGTCCCCTTGGAGGGTAGAACTGGATCTCTCCTGTCTGTGTCTACAGCTATACCAGGCCTGGACACATGGCAATGATCCAAGGTTGTGGAGTGAATGAGCGAAGCCCAGGGCTGTCAGTGAGCTCTTTCCAGGTGGAGACAGGCCGCTTAGACCTAAGAGCCGAAGGGTCTGGCTCCAGATGTGAAGGCAGCTGGTAACTTGCCTCCAGCACACCCAGGTTTATAGCTGGCTCCCTCATCCTGAGTTTTCCATCCAAGACTATCTTCTTTTTTAAGAAAGCTTTACTCTTTCAATGTTATTATTGGGAGGAGAGTCGCACTGGTAAGCATGTGGAGGTCAGAGGACAACTCTGTGGGGTCACTTCTCTCCTTCTGCCTCTATAAGAGTTCCAGGAGTTGTCAGGTTTGTATAGCAAACGTTTTCACCCACTGGGCCATCTTCTGGGCCCCCAAGACCATTTCTTGTATTAATCAGAGTTGTCATTAGTAGTCAGCCACCATGCATGTTACAAACATTGTACAATGTTGCATTGCTTGGCTATGGCTGACCTTCCTTATAGACAAAACAGGTTACTTTACCCCCATTCTACAGATGAGAAAACTGGGGGGATGCAGAACCATTTGAGGAACTTTACAATGTAAGGCTCCAAAGTCTATGCTCTTAAGTTCTTGGCTAGAGGCCTTAGTTGTTTGATACTTTAAAAAAACACAAAATATGGACAGGCATGGTGATGCATGCCTTAAATCCTAGTGTAGCTGAAGTTTTCCTGTGTCCTGGCCTGCCGGCAATTGGGACAAATCTCTCCCACTTGCGTCCCCCAAGTAAACACACAGAGACTTATATTACTTATAAACTGTATGGCCGTGGCAGGCTGCTTGCTATCTGTTCTTTTATCTTAAATTAACCCATTTCTATAAATCTATACTTTGCCACGTGGCTCATGACTTACCAGTATCTTACATCATGCTTCTCCTCACGGCAGCTGGCCACGTCTCCCTCCCTCAGCCTTCTACCTCCCAGAATTCTCCTCCTTGTCCTGTTTACACTATCCTTCCTGCCTGGCTACTGGCCAATCAGTGTTTTATTTATCAATCAATCATAGCAACATATATTCACAGCATACAGGACATCCCACACCATCCTAGCACATAGGAGGTAGAGGCAGAGGTAGGTGGATTTCTGTGAGTTCCAGGCCATCCTGCTCTACATAGAGAATTCTTAGATAGCCAGGACTACACAGAGAACCTGTCTTTAAAAACAAAACAACAACAAAAAAAAAACACTGGATTTTGTTATAATAGACATTATTTGGTATCATATCAACTGAAAGCTGATTTTCAAACTAGCTCAGTGTCTTCATTTGCTTTCTATTGCTATGATAAAACACTATGACCAAAAGCAATTTGGAAAGGGGTTTGTTTCACCTTGCTGCTTGTAGTCCATTCAGGGAAGCCAGGGCAGGAACCCACAGCAGGAACTGATGCAGAAGCCATGAAGGAATGCTGCTCACTAGCTTGCTCCCTCATGACTTACTCAGCCTCCTTTTTTTTTTCTGTTTTTTTGTTTGTTTTGTTTTGTTTTGTTTTGTTTTTCCGAGACAGGATTTCTCTGTGTAGTTTTGCTGCCTGTCCTGGATCTCGCTCTGTAGACCAGGCTGGCCTCGAACTCACAGAGATCTGCCTGCCTCTGCCTCCCAGGTGCTGGGATTAAAGGTGTGTGCCACCTCCGCCTGACCTCAGCCGCCTTGCTTATAGCACCCATGGTACTACCCAAAATGGACTGGGCCCTCCCACAGCAATTATTAATCAAGAAAATAATCCCACAGACTTGCCTACAGGCCAATGTGATGGTGGCATTTTTCTCGATTGAGGGCCCTCTTCCCAGATGACCCTAGGCTGTGTCAAGTTAACAAAAAAAAACAAAGCAGCTGATTCAGTTAGGGTTAAAGGTGGATTCCTGTAATCCCAGCACTTGGGAAGTTGAGACGGGGGCTGGGGAGATGGCTCAATGGTTAGAGTGCTTGCTGTGCAAGCATGAGAATGTGAGCTCAGATCTGCAGAGCCCACACAAAAGCCAGGCACAGTGACTCATGCCTGAAACCCCTGTGCTAGGGGAACAGAGACAGGTGGGTCCCAGGCACTCGCTGGCCAGCCAGTTTAGCTGAAATAGTGATGTTGAGGTTCAGTGAGAGACCCTGTCCCAAAACAAAGCAGAGATGCAATCAAGAAAAGATACCAAGATGGCAACCTCTGACCTTTACCCGTGGGAGGATGGACCTTCACACACATATCTGCACATACGTGCAAACATCACAAACAATTTTTTTAAAAAGGAATGCTGAGACAGGAGTCTGAGGACAGCCTAGGCTATATAGTGAATTCAAGACCAACTAAGTTATATAGTGATCCCCTATGTTGAAAAATAAATACATAAATAAATAGTAGGAGAGGGGACTAGGTATATAGGTTAGTGGCAAAACATTTGTCCATCATGCGTAAGGCCTTGGGTTCATTCCTCAACACCACACATACACACACAAGCTAATTCTCACACACCCCCCTCCATGTCCGCAGTCACATCACTGAGAAAGCAATTCCAGCAGCCTGTGGGCATCCTTTCAAAGCCTTATCTTCTCTAACATGAACCACAGGGTTGAATTGTCCGCCCACATTATCTTAGTATATTCGTTACTCTGCCATTTACCATTTTTTACTTTATAAGATGAGCAGTCCTTCAAAAAGCGAGGCCACTTTTTTCTAATTTATTTATGCATGTATAAGTTTTATAAAAAATGAACTAATTTCATCCTTAGTGGGGTATTTCCTTCCCCACTTTACTCCATCCTTGCCAGACTTAGCAAGTAGAAATATGATATGCCCAATCAAATTTGAATTTCAAAGAAATGGAGACTGGTTTTAATCTAAGTATGACCTGAGAAATTGTAAGAAATCCACCATTATGGTCCATTTCCAGTCTGCAAATGCATTTCAGTATAAAAGTGCCTTTAGAGCTTGCTATGGAATTGCTAGCAAGCAGGAGGCCCCATGCCTTCTCTGGCTAGCAGCTGGCACCCATTTGCCAGGGTGCTTCTTAGTTTACGTCAGGGTTGAAAAGTTAGTCTGCTACATGACGGAGCCTCTGGACTAGGATAGAAGTGAATCTCACCCCACCACCCCACCACCCCCAGGGTTGGGAGGCTATGCTAGAAAACCTAACTGGAGAGCCAACCTGTGGGGAAAGGTGGGCAGCAATTTTTCCCCCTGAGAACTATAAAAATCACTGTTCTGCACTAAATGGGAGCACTAGCCATTTTTACCGTTTCTCTCTCGAGACTTTGCAAGGCTGTAAAACTGCTTCAACTGCCTCTGTTTCTACACTTTTGAGTCTCCCGGACTCTCATAAAGGGAGAATCATTGTCTCTCATACAGTGATTCTTTGAGTCTCGGAAACTGAAAGTTAATGGGTCATCCTGTATTTTACTCGACAGCCCTACGATATACCCGTTGGCAAACATGAACATCTGGGAGTGTTGTTATACACATCCTTCCATGCCTCAGTTCTATGACTTGGCACTAACCAAGTAACAGTGTTGCTCACTGATTTCAGTGGCTGCAAAGACGCCCTACATGCGCCTCTTCCTGTTCTCCCACGATGCCCGCCTCCATTAACCACTACCCCAAGTCTCTTCAATGCCATTTCATCCCAATCTCAGTCAGGCATGCTTCAGAACAAGGGACAGCAACGCCCAGAGACCAGAAACCAGCAGCATTGGAGGGGACTAAGATGTAGCTAAGCTGTGTGGTTGAGTGTTGGTCTAGCACTCACAAAGCCCTGGCTTTGACAGTCCCTGTTGGTGGGGAGGACCAGCTACAGAAAAGCTAGTAAAAACTTAGCAACTTGTCTCTCACTCGAAGCTTTTTAACATCTATTTTCATTTCTTTAGGAGAAGTGCCGGAGGTTAGCTCATCAAAAGAAAAACAAGTGAGGAGAACCAGCTAGCCCCAGAGGAAAGAGGTCCTAGGATTCAGAAGAGTTCACACTGGCTTCCCAGTTCACACGGGCTTCCCTGCTTCCTCTCATGGTGGTCACAACTTTGTTTTCCTTACCAATCCCTGTAATTGAATTTTTTCCCTTTAATTTTTGACAGTTTCATACACGTTTACAGTGTACTGTAATCATACTTATCCCCATTGCCTTCCCTCATCCCCATCCCACTCTGTGAACCCCCTTTCTTCCCAACAGTTCCCTTCCTTCATGTCTTCAGCCTGCATGCATGAGTGCTTTCGTGTGTGTGTGTGTGTGTGTGTGTGTGTGTGTGTGTGTGTGTGTGTGTGCATGCACACACATGCTGGCACACACATGCATATGCAGGTCTTGTGCAGGTAACCACAGATGACGTGTGTTCATGTTTACAACAGCTGTGGCCATGCTGGATCTCAGCACTTTGGGTGGTCTTTATTCAGGAAAAGAGTCAGCCTTTAATCGTTGGGCTTCAGAAAATGACCTTAGGCCTTTTCCTTCTTCTGAGCCAGACCTTGTTGGCCCAGCAGCTACAGATGCCCGGGAGAAAAGGCCTTGTGTGCTGCCACTCAGCTCCTGACTAAGCACCTCGACTCAACTGCTGGGTTTCCGAGAGACCCCAGCCTTGTCCACAGTTTCCTCCTGTCCTCTTTCTTGGCCTTCCTCATCGGTTTTCAGGACAAGACGTGTTAGGAGTGTGGGGGCTCGAGGGGGTGTGATACAGTAAGAGAAAGGAAGTGGGAGGGGAAGGGAAGGGTAGAGCATGGAGAATTCAAGTTCCAGAAAGCAGCCACCACAAACTGAGCATTCTGCAAAGGCTGACTGACTACAACTTTCAGGGCTGTGGAGAGGTTAGCTCATTGCCAGTCCGGCACCAAGTATCTTGAGCTGTCTCAGCCCCTTAAATAGGCACTTGTCGTCCACATCTGTGTGTGACCTAACATCCTGACTCTTAGGTAAAGGTTTTGGAACATAAGAGCAGATTCCTACAGCTAAGAAAGTCATCGTACGGTACCTGGGGCCCATAGCAAGGTCTCCCTGCTTTAACGTGGTTATTTGGGGCAAACTGAATCTGTATTTCTGGGGCATGATCACTCATATTTGGCTCCAAAATAAACTGTTTCTTCATCTCCTTTGAAGTGGGAGCTGTGTCTTTCACGTCGGAAAGGAGGAGGGTGACAAGGTGAAGCCCCCCGGGGGGGGGGCGGGGGGGGAGGTTTTAGCAGTAAAGTAAGGGATAAGTGGTTGAGGCAGCTTATCTGGGGACTGACAGAATGCTCAACCTTCAGCCCCGGGCTTCAGCAAAAAGGTTACTTACTCACCAAGCAAGATGGGTCGGTTAGATATGCACCACCTTCTGGAAACTGGGAAGGGGAACCGAGCTCAGGCTTTGTTGGGTTCGAGTCAGATCTGCTTGCAGACCTGATTTGAAACCTACCCTTCGGGGGTAAGGGGTTACCTCATCTGAGAATAGGAGAGTGGAGGCCCACGGCTAGCGTGGGGCCAGAAGGAGGGCCCATCTGAGGACAGCAATGGAGGCCCAGAGCTTCTGGAGGTCAAAACTGGAAGGAACGGACCTGAGCACACAGTATTGGGATCAGACCTCTTCCCTGCTGCAGCGGTAAGAGCAGGAAGCCTGGCGGGTTTCCCAAGGTGCGCCTCCCTCCAGCCTCCTGCCTCCGCCTGGCTCTTTCTTGGTGGGTCTGTGCAGCGCCCTCCCCAGCAGTGGATCTGGCAACTCCCGGTTTGGGACCCACCGACCTGGCGGGCTCCAGCGGAGCCAGTAGGTGAAGGCGCGTCACAAAGGCGGCGGTGGCCTTGGCCGCTGCGAGGGCAGGGCGCTGCCCGGGTTGCTCTCAGAGTCGGCGTGGGAGCAGCAGCGCGGGCGGAGGGGCAGGCGCGCTCGGCGTCCCTGCAGCCCAAGCGGGGCGCAGCGAGTTGGTAACGGGAGGCCCAAGGCACGCACGCACGCACCCGGCGGCGGGCAGCTTGTGGCCCGGCGCAGCCGCGAGGCCCGCGTGGGAGGGGCGGGCTGCCCTGGTGATGGGACAGCCTTAAGTTTTCCTCGCTTGTTGGCAGCTGTGTCATATTATGGTGGACCAAGCCGAGGTTTGGGAATGCTAGCGTAGGTTCGAATCCCACACCCATACACTTAGAACACCACCTCACTAGGAAACTTGCTTGACCTCCCAACACCTTCCAATTCTCTATTTGCAAAGTGGGCGTGTTCCCATCTTCACAGAAAAAAAAAAAAATGCAGAAGTACTTTGGCCCCAACTCACTTATGGCAGCCAGAGTTTACAGCAGCTCTTTCTACCTCCCAGCTGTATTCTCCCCATCAGCTCGTTCAAGTTTCCCAAAACTAGGAAAAAGGAATGACTATTCCTATTAACAGACTAGACATTCAGACACGAAGAAATTGACTAAGATCACGGTAGCAATTGATAGGCCACTAAGTCCCATTACCTTCTGCCAGTGGGGGTGTCGTTTATTACTTGGGGGAGCCTTGAAAAAGTATTTAACTCAGGAACAGGGAAAGGCTCAGTGCATAAAGCACTGGCCATGCAGGTGTGGGGACAAGAGTTCGAATCCATCCCCAGGACCCATATAAAGCTGTAGTTGTAATCTAGGCTATCTACAGCAAGAGAGAAACTGTAAAAAGACTCTGTTTCAAAAAAGGTGAAAGGTGGAAACCTATACCAGAGGCTGTCCTCTGGCCTCCACATATACACCACAGCACATGTGCACACACACACACACACACATCTATAGCCCTATAGCCCACCGACATATTCTTCTAGCCTGTGACTTTGCCTGGGTTTGATTACGTGACACCCCCTGCCAACCCAGCACACACACACACACACACACACACACACACACACACATACACACACACACCACACACACCGTTCTGGGAAGCACCACATGCCCAGTTTATGCAGTGCTAGGGATCAACCCTGAGCTCCGAGTGTGCTAGACAAGCACTGTGTTACCAAGCAACACCCCAGCTTTTGGTTTGATTTCTTGTTTTTGTTTTTGTCTTCATTTTTCCATATTCCCTTTTGGCCTCTTGATCCACACTGTCCCTGGTAGAGACTCATAACCTTGGACAGTTCGTTTACGAGCAATCAAAGTTTTGTTTGCTCGTTTGTTTTGTTAAATAGACTTTACAAGTTCGTGACATGAAAGCAATTGTTACCCCCATCAGTGTGAGCACATCACATGCCTTCACACTTCTGTGGCTTCACACATACTGTTCCCTCTGCCTGTAATACAGTCAGCTTTTCCTCTGCCACTGGGCCAGCCTGGTCTGCTCTGCATAGCCTACTCATCCTTCAAAACTTATCTCGGACATCACCTCTTCTGAGCAGCCCTCAGCTCTTCCTCCTTACATGGAAAATAGTCACTTCTTATCTGTGCTATCCCCACCCCCCCCATATCGTGAGCATGCCTGGGTCTCCCCACTTCTCTTGCTGTGTTAACACTCACTGGGTGTTTTGTTTTCTTGGAGACATAGTTCAGGGTGACTGGGACTCGCTGTGTAGCCCAGGCTAGCCTTGAGCTTATGCTTCTTCCACCTTAGCCTCCTGAGTCCTGGGATTACAGGAATATGCCACCACAGGCAGCTTCTCACTGTGCTGAAGTTGGGTGCTGGTCTGTGACCCTGGATGAACATGCAGTCTTCACAGGTGTGGGGTGTGTCCTGGATTCACTAATGCACCACCTACGTCTGGCCCAGTGTCTGATACAGTACAGTAGAAGCACAGAGAAGGTTTGTTCAATTGAGTTTGATTTCTGCTTGGCTGGTAACAGTCTTCCTTTTTTTATCCCTCACAGAGAACACGTGATTTGTATTTCTTTCCCCATTTTGGGAAGCCCTGCTCACCACACTGCTACACTGTACATCCGGGTCCTTTGATGGACGACGAAGGGGAAGTGACCCAGCCCCAAGAGCAGAGCTGCTGGGCCACTCTGCCAGATGTGTGCCTGCGACGTATTTTCTGGTGGCTAGGAGACAGGGACAGGTCCAGAGCTGCCCTGGTCTGCAGAAAGTGGAACCAGATGATGTACTCAGCTGACCTCTGGCGATACAGGACCATCACGTTCAGCGGGAGGCCATCCAGGGTACATGCATCTGAATTCGAGTCAGCGCTCTGGTACGTTAAGAAGTTTGGCCGCTACCTGGAACACTTGGAAATCAAGTTCCTGAACCCTTACAATGCTGTCTTGACCAAGAAGTTCCAAGTCACCATGAGAGGCCTCCTGTCGTGCCTCGGCAAGAGTAACAACCGCCTAAAGTCACTCTCTATCCAACACCTGGAGCTGGACCGCCTGGTCTGGAGAAACAGCATCAGGGGGTCGCTCATCAAGAGCTTGAGTTTTTTCTTAAAGAAAATGGGCAAACACCTGGACCATCTCAGCCTGAAAGGGGCCCGGCTGACAGTGGAGCAAGGCTGCCACATCCTCAACTCCTTGAGCTACCTTCGGAATGAGAACTTGGCCTCAGAGCTCAACATTGAGGACTTCTTCAGCCATCACCTGGCCGTCTATGGCAGCTCCCAGTTCAACAAAGCCATGGCTACATTCCACAACCTGACGTTCCTAACACTCAACTACAACTGTATCTCCGACGAGCTGCTCGAGACCTTGAGTGAGAACAATGCTGGCACCCTCCGGACCATGAATATCAAATGCCACGTTCACGACCCCCACGGCCAGGTAGTTTGGGGCATGTCCTGGGCCAAGCTGGCCAGACAGGCCAGCAACCTAAAGGTGAACTTCTTCTTCGAGCGAGTCATGAAGTATGAGCGCCTGGCCCGGATCTTGCTGCAGGAGATTCCAGTCAGAAGCATCAGCCTAAGAAGTTGCTATTTCAGTGACCCAGACTGGTCCATGCGGCCCACTCTGACGGACATTCTGCCCTCCTTCCGGAACACCCTGCAGGTAATTGGCAAGTGAGGCCCCCAGGAGCTGGTGAGGAGCTATTGCTCACAGGAAAACCTGCTATTTGTCCTCTGCTAGGCTTCTACATGCTCACTTAATTCTTTGTCAAAGTTCTAGATGCAACCAAGCAAGCACACTCGCAGGCCTCCTACACACTCCTCACAAGACCACTGTTCACTCCCTGCACATGGGATTCAGGGAACTTCCGGGCTGGCTGTCAACCAAGAAAACCTCCCTTACCCTTATTGGAGAGCTGTGAAGCCCGAGCCAGGAGGTGCCTTGCCGGCAGCAGGCAGCCTCTTCCCGCTGGCTTACAGCAGTAAACAGGCATCCCCGTGGTTCGCTCCTGTGGCCAGCAATAAGCTGGGGATGAGAAGAACCAAACTTGACAAAAAGCCAAATTTGACTTAAGTCCCTGGAGACCTCCAAGTTTCCAGGCAGTCCCGGCACCTCTGACCCCTTCCCCCACCCCCCAACCCTCCTTCTCCGGTGCTTTTCTAGAAGTTAACATTTGAGTTCAACAACAATCACGAGTCGCTAGATGAGCAGCTACATCTCCTCATCCTGGCTTGCCGAAAGCTGTTCTACTTCAAAATCTGGGCTTTCCTGGACGTTAAGTTTGTGGAGCGAATTCTGAAGAGCCAGGAGGAGGGGCAATGCTCCCTGCGCACGCTAAAGGTGAGCACCCTCGGCTATTGGCATGGGTCGAAGCGGGGCACATCTAGACTCGGCACTTCCGCTCTGATGCAGGTTGGAAATTGGGACAGGAGACAGACCCGAGACAGGCACTGCCCTTGATTCTGTCCGTGGGAGACGTCCAGCCCCACAGACAGGATCTGGACATCTCTTCTGCTCGGTCTCCCGTGGGCTCTACGTCCACGAAGCCAGCCAACTTTGTCTTTACCGGAGATGTATATTTTTTGATGTTACTGCCTAAGCATAGCATTCACATTATAGTAGGTATCATCAGCAACCCAGAGATAATTTGCACACACTGTTCCATTTTACATAAGGGACTTGAGCATCCACCCATGCACCTTAGATTCCAAAGGGGGTCCTGGAATCAATCCCTCACGGATACCAAGGGAAATTGTGCCTAGGCTTTTTCCGATTCAACCATTAATTGTGTGTGTAGATGCATTTGGATGTTTGTCAGGTCTTAAGTGATACAGTCATCTCTCTCTCTCTCTCT